TGGGTTAATTGAATAAACATTTTTTTTTAATAAAAGAAGTGGACTAGCTAAGATTAATGATGAAATTAAATGATATCGGCTTTACAGCATCAAATGACACTGATTAAAAGCCTCATTCGATGCGCATAAGTTCCAAAATGGGGTTTCTATAAAAAGGTCTGCTGACTTTCAAATACAATCCAGGATTTGTAACGAAAACTTCATTTTGGCTAGCAAATTAGTCATCATCTCAACAATAACTATTACTAATGCTCACAATAAGGAATATAAAAAAAAATTATGCCATAGTTCAATGTTACTTTAAATGCCAAGCAACAATCTCTTGATTGCACGCAGATCACGAACTGAAAATGATCTCTTTCATCACCTTCCCTGTCATTTGAAATTGAACATTTATTTTTAAGTTTTAGTTATTCCGTTAGCATCATCAACATGAGTACTGCTGATCTCGTGTCATTGATAGCAATCGATGATGGAAAGAAGATCGTCACTTATAAGGTAAGGTTAGCATGGATGAAAAACAAGCATGGATGTACATTGAATGTCGATAAAATAAATTGTTTTAATGGCAATGGATGTCTTGCATCCTTAGACTTTATATATGCTTAATAAATTTAATTCTTTGTTGCACAACCAACTCCGGGGATATGTCGAGGTAGTTCATAATTTATGATATTTCTGTCTTCTTAAAAAATCGTTTCATAATGATTGTGATAATAAATTCAACATTTTATAAAGTTCTGCTGGATACTTGCCAATCAACTATTTCATAGAGTCACATAGGAATGTCTCATAAATTGTTAGCGTCAATAAATATTCAAAGTAGTAAATGATATTTTGTAGCTTATGCGTTATTAATAATTAAATTCATCAGAATTCTGTCATAGTGTCATTTTTCACAGACTGAAATTTTTTTATACATAAAAACAAGAAGTTGGATTTTGAGAAGATCCTGAGAAGTACATTTGATAAAACTTCTTTGGTGTGTAGCTGCTAACAAGAGGTAGGGTGACTATGGATTTGACTATGAGTGACAAAACCCTATACTATATCCATATTAAAATTACATGGAATTTTCAATAACATCTTCAAATGTGTCTGTAAATTCAAAACGGTTCTATGAAGTTCCCCATCTCGACTAAAATGTCGATGCTATAAAAAACTCCAGTCACTCCTCGGGCTTCATACGAAAAAAACAGAAACAAATAATTACCAATCGTATGTGACATATCCATGTGATTCCTTCGCATTGATATGCGAAGATGAAGAAGAAGAATGGAAAGTTGAAAAGGCAGTATGTGTAAGATACAAAAGCTTCATTGCTCATAAGCACTTTGCTTCCATTCGTTCCATAAATCATGTCTTATCTCGACTAAGTGGCGTTCATCATAATACATTATAATTAACTATAAGTCTATATCGGAGCGAGTACAAGAATGGATTGGAAGAAGAAGCAGATGGAACTGAGGAGAATGAAAGAACAAACTTGAGAACTCTGAATGAATGTTGGATGCTTATGAAAGTCACATAAAAAGAATTCCGATAACAGCAGCAGTTACAAAAAAATATAAATAAATAAAAAACAATTATTGATGTCGCTCTTCAAGTTGAAGGGAGAAAAAAGAGGAATTCTTTTGTTGTAAAAAGTCACTACGACATAATTCAAGAACCACTTATGTTCATCAAACGATAATAATAATTTTCGCTGTATATATTAAAGACAGGATTGGTGGTTTAGGTTAGGTTAGGTTACTTTTATAGTCTTAGAAACTGACTCTTGAGTTTGATAAGAACAGAGTAAAATATAGAGTATATAACAGCTAGCTCAAGTTACTAGGCAACATATTGGTAATTTCTAACTCTCATCTTGAGTGGACTTGGGTTCAATTCCTATCAAAAACCGAAATTTCAGTAGTTAAAGTATCATGCTTCATCAGAATGTGATCGATTAAGTGGAAATTGGTTAAAATCCAGCAGCCAACAAGTTCCCAAAAAATACCCAAGTATCAAAAACACAAGAAACATCCAAAACTATATTGATCATGCTCCCCAAAAGGCATTTACGCACCTTATCACTCTCATATCCTCGGTAATAAACTCCCAACTGACAACCCTGTCAAAATACATTTAAACATTATTGAGTAAGTAACAACAGCAACAACAAAAGACGAGCTTGAAAGAATTTTATAATCAACGACTTTTTTTTACTCAGAGTTCATTGAAGTTGCTGAACGATAAAAAGATTTTTTTTTCTTTCTCTCGTTCTCGGTCTCTCTCATCATCTCATCATGTGAAGAATGTTTTGTTGTGTCCATGTGTGAGAATGTGTGCATAAAAAGAAAGCAAATAAATAAAAAATAATAATATTGTATGGAAGTAAGATCCCAAGAATTTTTTGTGTTCTTCAAATACAGCCACAAACCAGTTTTTAAGAAAGAAATTTTATTTTTTTCTCCTCTCTCACTTTATGTGCACCGTGTGGACAAAGGAATAAAGACTTTGTTCGTTATGTTGCACGAGATGATAAAAAAAAAGCTAAAGAACTGAGAATTTTTTGCTTAAGGTTAGTGACAGGAACGCATTTTGTACGCTATTGGATCTAGATGTAGATAAGACTGAGCGAAAAACAAAATAATAATTTATAACTAGAAAGTTATAAAGTAAGTAGGCAATAAAAAATTTATTTCATAATCGTGTGATGTTAACGATTTTGTTCGTTTAATTAAAATTTATGAACTAAAGATATTTTTTAATGGATATCCATAACGCTTTGGCATGGGTTTATGCAATTTTGTGAGTGATTTATGTATGCCTGGGAAACAAAACTGTCATTTAGAGGTTGGTTTCTCCGATGGTAGGAAGCAAAAGACCAAAAATCATCCAGAAATTCCTACACGGGAGCAGGATACACCTAGAACTTTTTATTAGCTTATCGAAGAGCAATTCTGGCCCATACTTATGGGATACCTAATAAATACTCCAGAAACTGATTTTAGAGCAAATTAATAGAACAAAACTAGTCCAAACTATGGTTTTATCAAGAATATAGTCTAAAAACAGCCATTAGACCCAGTCGCATTGCTTCATTAAAGCTAAGCGATTACAGAAACCTAAAGTGGTCCTAATAGCTCAATGACGACTCATATGGATACAAAAGTTCAAATTTGCCACTCTGTTCTGCTGGCTCATGAGCTCCAAAAGCTAATTAGCTTTAAAGAGTGATGAAGGAATTTCAGTTTTATGTGAGGATAGAGAAATTGTGCAAACTAGGTAATAGAGCCAGCAATGGAGTCAGATGGTGAGCCTTGTGTTGTAACCTAAGCTCCACATAGTTACATAGTTTGCGTAACCATGTTCCTATGTGGAACTAAGGTAACAATTACTGCTCGGAATAGGTCATAATAATTTTAGATAAGCACCTGACTGTTCCTAGAATGATGCCTTTAAATCAATTTGATTCAATCACAATGTGACTATTTTTTAATTATCAAATGGAAGCTTTTTATGATTTTTTGTCATTTAAAAAATTTATGATTGATAAAACTTCAAAAAGGTAAACTATATAATGAATTTTTATGTCCAAAAATTCAACGTTTAAAATTTGAGATGGTCTATAATTTATTGCGAATTAAATTAAATTAAATGATATGAAGCATAAATGTTGAAATTTATGGCATGGGAGAAAACATATAAAAAATAATTTAAACGATAAAAATCACGTTTTAGAGCATCAAATGGCAAGTATAAAGGATATCTTTAGATCTTCCTTATCATAAATTTAGAGCTGTAATGAATAAAAGATTCTGAAACATAAGACATCAATGAGTTCAGCAGGTTTTAGATGCTAAAAACTTATCAAATAACTTAATTCCAATTAAATTCCTTCAACAATTCAAATTTATGCATATTCGCTCGAATAATGTAATTAAGTGGATTTGCATCATCAAACATTTGGTGCGTCACACACAAATCATGCGGAAAATGCGCATTGTCATCTTGTTATGGTGTCTAATGGTGAGATTTTTAATGCTTTGTCGTGGAATTCGTTTGGATTTTGGCAGAGCTAGAAGTTGATGAAATTTTGTAGCCGAGTCGACTCCGTCATACAAAATCTATGAAAATCTCTAGTCGACTTCGAACTTTAGTTTTTGGTATAATTGATTGAAAATAAGATGAAATAATAATGAAACTTCTTTCAACTTTCTATTCTTAATAAGAAGATGCAGAAAATTGTCAAAACAATATTTCACACTGCATCCTAGGGTGACCATCTGCGTGGTTTTACAACGGACAGTCCTGTATTTCAAAACCCTGTCCTGTATAAATTTGAAAATGTTGTTCCAGGTCCTGTATTTTTTTCACGAAAATTTCCGTTAATTTTCGAATTTTACTCTATGTCCTGTATTTTTCGAAAAATTTTACCAAAAGTCCTGTATTTTCATAAAAATCAGATGGTCACCCTACTGCATCCTTAAATTCCTACAACACCACATGATAATGATAAACAGGTACAAAAATAGACATTGAGTAACTGACTTTTAAATGGTTTCTTTGAATTGCACAAACATTTCACACATATTCTTCTTTTACATGTATTATTTACATGATTATTTTTGGTAGAATAAAACATTTAACATCCATTCCAAGTATTAAAACTGATCTTCAAGTACAAAACTAGGATTTTATGTCATATTTTGGTAACTAGTAGCTATAATAAGCTCAAAATTTCACATTTTCTTATACCAAAAACATCGGCTTCAATCTTTACGAAACCCAAACTGTAATAACATTTCAGACCCATAAAAATAAATGTGCTAAAGAGCTGTGAATTGCGATCAAATGAACATGAACTGTTCGCAAGCATCAAATGCATCTTCCGAAGAATTTAACAAGAAACAAAAAGCAAAAAAAAATGTTCTTTAAATTAAAGGAAAGGAATTGAGAACACATAATTATAGTTATGCTCTCCTTTCTTCTTCATATACTGCTCATTTTTTTACCTGCGATTGATGAAGATACGATGTGACTCCAAAGATGTTGTTATTTTTTGTGATGCCTAACAAGGAATTGAAATAAATGAGAAGAGTATCCAAATGATTGAAATTATTGTTTTCCTTTATAAAAATGTTTTCTCTTTTTTATTCTTATTTAATGTTTATTATCCTCGTTGGAAAAATTCCTCAACGACAACACTAAGACTTGCTTTATATTAAATATTATCCACCTTCTTCGTGATCATTAAAATTGTTTTTTATATTTTTTAAATTTTTTTTTGATGATATAAATCCGACACTTTTAATCATAAAAACTTATAAACGGGATTTAATCCAATTATGAGAATATTTAAGAATCATTGAGACGTATGAAAATCCTCTTTAATTATATCATTTGCTCTTTCACTGTTTGCTTAATAATCACTAATATATCACACTTTTTATATTATTCAAATATTGCTCTCTTGTTTGAGGGACTCTTTCCCTTTATTTTGTTTTTTATTCCTCTCAGCAGTAACAACAGAAATCGTATGGCATTTCGAGATGAAATCAAATAAGAAGAAGGAATATTTTTTTGTGGATTAAATAAATGGCAAGTAATTTAAGCAAGCCTTTAAGTAATTTTTCTCCCGTCACTAGACTTTTGAATAACGGATGACAAAATTTATCAAAAAGTCTTATTTTTTGTCGGCACTTTACACACGAAAAAAACTGACACTTGACACTGAAAATTCTCTATAAAAGATTATCAGATGTAATGACTTTAAACACTCTTCTTTCACTCCTTATTTTTTTGCAATCTCACACTGATTCTTTTTTGAATTTTCATATATATTTATCTTTTTTAACACAACACTTTGCCTTTATAGTCACTTGATTGATGAATTCTCACTCAATAATAATTCATCATTTAATTCACAAGAAAGACTTTCCTTTTTTAACTTCACTTCTCCGTACACTACAATTGTAAGTTCAAATCCTATTGTCAAATATTCCGGAATTTACGACAAACAACAAAAAAAAAATCTCAAAAATTGAGTTTTTACACGCAGAACCGATCTTAAGTCGACAACGTAGAAACTTCAACTGTAGCAACAGGCAGAAAATAGCATAAAGAGAAAGAAGGAAAAGAAAAAGAAGTGATCGAGAGTCATAAACTTGTTTTTTTTACTTTACTTCTATACTGTTGCTGTGCACACAAATACATCGATAATTTAAATTGATCATTGAATGCTGTAGAAATCCAAAAAAGAGGCAAAGAATGAGAAGGAGTTGAAGAGCATGATGAGAGAATTTGGAAGGTGTGTTGGTGGATATGTACATGTGAATTTACATACATATCGATAGCTTGCATATGTTTTATGATGCTAGGTAGCATAAATATCTTTTTTTGCATGATATTCTGAACAAATGACATTAACATGATTCACGACTTTTTTATTTGTCATCTGTTTGTATATTTAGAGGATTATTAATTTTTCGGAGCGGGATATTTGTGTGATCATTAGTTTTATTTTTATTATGTGATGCGCAACTAAGTTGGATACTTAGCACAGTTTGGCATCAAAAATTTGGATTTATTGTAGGTTGATAAGAAATGGATGTCATACATGTTACATGCCACGTTAGCAAGTGCCAGCTTAAACTACATGTACAATAATAATAAAATGTAGTTAAATTAAGTGCTGTCAGAGAACTTTCTATGAAAATTTGACATCTAGAAGGAGGTCCTTACTTTTTTAAATCATAATTGCCTAAAATCTCAAACTTAAAATTAACCTATAAAATATTCTACATTTCCAGGCTTAATCAAATGCGTGAAACATTTCAGACAATCTCCAAAAACCAACATACATAAAATTCTGCAAACATAGTCTCAAACATATGCAAAAACCACAAAAATTCCCTTCTGTTTCATCCATTCTCAAGTGGATGCTCATGCTCATGCAAGCCTCATGCTTCACCTTCACGAGGCTTTAGCATCCAAATTTCATTATAAATTTATTTAGAATCTTCTTAGCGGTTTGCGTGCACAAAAAGAGTGCAATTTAATCATACTCATCTTGTACTCACTCTCTCCATCTTCACCCTGCAGCATTGTCATTGTGAACGACATAAAAAAAGGGAAGTGAAATGAGAAATATGTAGTCAAGGAATGGAGGAAGAGAATGAATGAGTGATGACGTGAACTTACATAAGATGTAAAGTAAACACTAATCTTTTCTTATTTGCTGTTGTTATTCCATTTGGGATATGCATATTTCATCTTTTCTACCTTTTTATCCATTCCTATGAGATTTTGCTTTTTATAAAATATGAAAAATAAATGAGAATTTCCATGGAAACTTATAACTTTGAGACTATTGCTCTGGAAAAATGAAGACTGAAAGTGTAACAAAACAAAATAATTAGCTCATGATTCTTTCCATTGGGACGGTTGCCAAAATATTTTGGGTTTCTTTTGTTATTTAAAAAAATCTCAGCGATGAAATTTTTTGTTGTGTAGTGGAACTTTGTTGCGAATAAGTTGTCAGCAACAACCCTCTTCAATTTTGAAAAACTTTAGAAAGCAAACACTTTATGAAGTCATTAAACTTTACAGTTGAGAATTAGAATTAATAATTATCATGACTAAGTTGACCTTACTTTGCAAAGCAGAATGCGAATATAAGTAGCTAAAGTTCCTTGATGGCTAGATTGAGTTCTGAGCATGAAAATAGACTCATGTGTCATTCGGTGTTTTGACCGTACTTTGCTAAACAGAAAGCTAGTATAAGAATCTAAAGTTCTTTTATAGCTAGTTGACTAAGTGCAGGGCATGAAAAAAGGCTCACTAGTGTCATTCGGAGTTGTTATCACCCCAAATATATTACATCCAACTGAAATCATATTCAAACAAAGTCTTTGAGCATGCAAATCCCTAGAAATGACACAAAACAATTTTAATAAAAAAAAACAGCTTTCCTGCATCAAATTTAAAAGAATTCTCGCTTTCTAGTTTAACCATTGTTTATGCATGTGTATCAGGAGACTAAAAAGTCTAGTCATTATTTGTATATTTTTGCTGTTTACTATTCATTGAAATTTTCTTCTGGATATACGCAACAAGATGTCTAGACTAGCTCTTGGGGACTTGAAAGTGTTTTTGCACGAGTGAAAATTATTGTTGCGAACTTACTTTTTGTTTTCTAGACAGAGTTGATTACTGAGATGGATACACCACAATTTGATGAACTGTAAATGCTCATTCAATTCAGCAATAGCAATTTTATTTCCAGGAATCATCAATCGTTAAAAAATCCACACAAACTTAAATCAGACAACAAATTCCCATCCCAAACTGAAACACTTTAACAAGCTTCCAAAATTGCAAATTGCAAACCTATTAAAAGTTAAACGAGATCTTGACCCAAGTGACTCAGTCAGTCAACAAGAACTGAAAGCATTCTGATGAAGGTAGAGTGAGGAAAAAAGATAAAAAACAAATTTTTTTTTTGTATTCGAGACTTTCAAATTATTCATTTGTCTGCATTATTCATACACAAATATATATAATGTATATTTGAAGGCAGCAAAGGGCCGCGTTCAAAAATTATTTAAGTAACATTGCGTGGCGTCCCAAGAGACAAAAGGAAGGCAAGTTCTGAAAAGATTCTTTCAATGTTTTTTCCCTTTAATTTAACTCGCGTCGTGCTATTTCTTGTCTTAAGAAATTTTTTATGTACTTCGTTTAACAGAAACAAAAAAAAACAGCAAATTGGCAATCTCAGGAGTATTTTATATGCTGCATTTTATGACGCTTGACCATACTGCCTGTGGGCTGCTCTCACTCTGCGCTAAAATTGCATTCTCGTACACAAGAATCTTTGATCGTTCTCACAATTTGTTTTTCCTTTAAATCATTTTCATGCCCTGTATATACATGCGTACAGCAAAAATGAATTGCATATTATAAAACAAAGATTGAATTATTTTTGGCGTCGGCTCGCGAGGCCTTAAATAAAGAGAGCCGAGAAAAATTTTCATTTAATTTTTGTTTTTTTGATGTGCTAAAATAAAACAAATCCAAAAATGGGGAGAACTTGTGAAAACGATAAATAAGGCATGGAATACAAGTGATGATTGTAAATTTCAATCTTCTTTCACTCTTCTTCTTATTCTTATTGCTATTAAATTGCTTTGCTTTAGTTTTTTTTTATTGGATTAATTTTTTATGAATATCATAGTTTGTTTGGGTTTGTTTGTTGCTTTTGGTCTGTCTGGATATCTGTTTGTCAGTTTAGAATGCTTGGTATTTAGTGAAGTGGAAGGTGGTTGTTGTTGGAAAAGAGTAGGACTGAACTTTGTAATTCCAAATATTGAGATGTAGCTAGTAATATAAGCTTTAGCGGTTAGGTGAGAGCACGTGGAAGGCCAAAAAACTCATGGAAAGAAGTATTGAAGTATTGTATTTTGTAAAGGAAATTCGAAAGCTGTAACCATCGATAGAGCCAATTTTATGTGTCATCTGAGGGAGGTCATGGATCACAATTGATCTGTAAAGTCATCGAAGTAAGTAAGTAAAATAGCGACTCTTTTTACTTAAATTTCTACATCTTTTTTGTTCAACTTTAGAGAATTACATCAAATCCTTCATAATCTAAGCACATCCACTACAAAATTAAATTTCTAGCTGCATTAATAATGACCGCAACTATCGACATACTCAAAACATTCCCACTTCCAGTTCCTTTTGTTGTAGAAGAAATGCCAGTTGTGGTTCGCATTGTTGAAGAAAATAACGAAGTCCTTAAAGTCGTTGACTGTGTACTCGAAGGAGTTGATGGAACAAAATAAGAAGTTGTTGTCGTAAAAGTCATTACTGTTGTTGTCTTTTTCAAAGTTGTTGTTGATATTGTTGTTGAAATTGGGTTTGTTGGAGGATTATCAGTTGAAATCAAAGCTGTGGTGCTGGATATGATGTCTGTTAATGAAGTTTGTGATGTTGTCGTCGGTAAAGGTGTTGTTGACGTTGTAATGCCTTCAAAATTATCAAAACATTGACTAAAAACTGAAGTCACATTGGTTTGCTGGATATTCTCAATAATTACATCAGCGCAAGGATTTCCCTCAAACTTAACCTTTTCGAGATTTGGAAAGCCAACGAAAAAGTTTCTTTGAATCTCCTCAATTGCATTGAATGAAGCCGAAAATTCTCTCAAAAATGCAAGATTTCCAGAATTCAGTCTTTTAATTAAATTGTTGCTGTAATCAACAACTTCAAGCTTTTCAAGAGCTTTAAAAAGTCCAGCAAGTGTCTCAATTCCATTTGAACTTATGTCAAGTTTTTGTAAATTTCCCTGATATTTGAAAACATCAGCATGTAAAGTTTTAATGTTGTTGTTGCTCAAATCAAGTTCTTTCAGTTGAAAATGAATGTCGAAAGATTTAAAATCCACATCTTGAATTTCATTGTGTCCAAGTTTAAGAACCTCTAAGCTTCCAAGTTTCTCAAATGTTTTCTTTATGATGCTTTTAAAAAGATTGTGTCTAAGTGAAAATTCCTTTATTTTTGGGAATTCTTTCAAAACATTATTTGGAATGCTACTTATGCTGCAGTTGTCCATATTGAGAACTTCTAGAACTTTAAACTGGTTGAAAAATCCAAAGCTGATATCTGACAATAAATTGGTTGCGATTGAAATTTTCTTCAAATTTGTAAGTTTGTCGATTAGAATTTTGATGTTTTCAAATTTGAGGTTCCAGTTGTCCAAATTTATTACTGATAGATTTTTGAGATGCTGTAAAACTGTGGATTCATATGTAAAGTTGCTCTTTGGATTGCCCAAATCAAGTTCTTTCAAGGTAATTAAATTTTTAATCAAATTTTGAGAAAATCCTGCAACTTTGTTTGAATTTAGGTTTAAAACTTCAAGATTATTAAGTCCTACAAACGATTCATTGGATATGCTTTTCAAATTATTTGAACTTAATATTAAAGCTTTTAATTTGCTGCAGTTTTCAAAAATTCTATCAGGCACAGTTTCCAAAATATTACTATGAACATCCAGCATCACAAGTTCATTACATTTTTCAAAAGAATTAACTGCCATAGAAATCATGTCCACATTATGAAGCACAATAATTTGTAGATTATTAAATCTTTCGAGAAATTGTCTATGAAAGATTTGAATTTTGCCACTAAACGATAAACTTGTTCTCATTGCTATCACATCCTCATCATTTTTGCCTCCCAAATGTGTCATTAAAAATTGAATTGAGTTGTTTTCATTAAAAACATCAGCTGAAACTATTGTGCATGTGTATAAGTCTTCAACAACTTCAAGCTCACATCGAATATTTTGTGAAGTTCCTTGAGTTGATCCAATGTGGACGATAAGTTGAAATATTCCAAAAAGTATCCTGGAATCAACAAATAATAATTGTCACATTTTAATAAATTCAAATAGATTTTTATTTTGTTTTTAACTTACATCATATTTAAACAAGCTTAGGATTAGTCAAAATACATGATTTAACGGCAACTTATTACAAGCAAATGAAGAACTTATTGCATGAATAAAAAAAATTAACTGGAAGTTTATCGAAAGTTATTAGCGATAATATTTGATAAGTTATTTTATATTTTGATGTTTGGATTGATCGATTAAATTACTGTTGAGTAGAATTACGACAAAAATGTGTATTCTCAATATGTTGAGAGCTTCCTTTAAAAAATGCCAAATCGACACTTTATCTAGGGATACCATCTAATTTTCATGAAAATACAGGACATTTGGTACATAGAGTAAATTTCGAAAATTAACGGAAATTTTCATGAAAAAAATACAGGACCAAGAACAAAATTTCAAAATTTATGCAGGACAGTCTTGAAAAGTACAGGACTGTCCGTTGAAAAACTACGAAGATGGTCACCCTAACTTTAACCCGAATAGCTCTGGCATGGTGCTGGACTCAAATCTCAAAAATTAAATCTAATCTTACATGTTGCCTGGATTTTAAAATTTTAAATTCAACTATCGGATTTTTAAATTGCAGTGCCTCCAGCTGAAAAGCTGGGCCCTTCACACATCATTAAATAAAAATGGTGCCTGATTTATATTCAATTAACCTTCTTATGCTGTTCGGGTAAGTTCAGAATGCAACATACTAATTTACTCAACTAGTGTAAGGTTAGTTTAGCATCACCACAGTGAATCAAGTAGCATAGTTTGAGATTAATAAGGATTAAAGCATTATAAAGCAATATAGAACACATAAAAATTAAAATCTTAATCCTGACTTTACAAAACAATCATTTTTAAACAAACATGATCATTTCCAGCAACAAAATCAAAGTCATTGACATTCTTAATACATTTCCACTCGCTTTTGTAGTTGTTGTTGTTGGTTTAATGGTTGTCGATGATATTAAATTGTCCCAATTATCAAAACACATCTTGAAAGCTATGCTAAGATTAACCATTTCAAAGTGTTCGAAATTTAAGTTGCTACAATTATTGAGCAGCATATTCAATTTATGTAAATTGGGAAAGTTTTGGAAAAATTTCCTGTCAATTGCATGAATTTTATTAAAGGATGCTGAAATTTCGTTTATAAACTTGTGGTTGCCGAAATAACTTGAATTTAACAAAGTAATGCAATTGTTGTCAAAGTTAAAGACTTTAAGATTCTCAAGAGAAGTAAAAACGTTTGTTTGAAATTCTTCAATTAAGTTCCACATCAAATTTAATGTCTCAAGATTTTGTTGATTTTTGAAAATGTCAATTGGCAATGCACTGATTTGGTTATAACCAAGTTCAAGATGTTTAAGACTTTTGAGATCTATGAAGGAATTTTCATGAATTGTTGCAATTTTATTGTAATTAAGATCTAGAAATTCTAAATTCTCTAGACCAGTGAATGTTTTTTCAGCAATAATGATCAAATTATTCCCAGCTAATGACAATGTTTGCAAGCTGGTTAAATTTTTGAAAGCATATCTTGGAATTTCGTTTAAGTGACAAAAATTTAAATTTAATTTTGTTAAATTCTCAAATTGTGAAAAAAAATCTAAATTTTTATCTATTAAAAGATTGAAGGATATGTCAATGTCCATCAAATTGCTTAACCCATTAAGCAGTGCTTCAACTTTTTCAAAATTAAGGTTCCAATGACTTAGATTTATTATTTCTAGATTTTTAAGGTGTTGAAAAATTGTTAAATTAAAGGAATTAAGATTCCAAGTTTCACTTAAATCAAGTTCTTTAAGGTTTACCAGATTTTTAAAAGGATTTGCTGATAATTCGTGAATATAATTTCTGTTAAGCTTCAATACTTCCAGACTCTTAAGACCTTCAAATGTTTCTTCAGTGATTTTTCTCAAACTGTTAAAATTCAAGATTAATTCCTTCAATTTCGTGCAATTCGTAAAAACTTTGTCAGGAATCGAACTCAAAAAATTAAAACTTATGTTAAACTTAATAAGTTGATTACAATTTCCAAAGGAATAATTTCCAAGTGACGTAATTCCAACGCCTTTTAACTCAATAATCTTTAAATTTGGAAACTTTTGAAGAAATTCTTTATGAAAAACATGAATTATTGTGTTGAATTGCAAGTTTGTTTTCATCAAAGTCACGTCACTGTCATTTTTACCCTCGAAATGTGTCATCGAAATGTCAAGCTTAGTAGCTTCAATAAAAACACCAGCTTTTGATATTTTACATCCATAGTGATCTTCAAAAACTTCTGGATTGCAGACTACATATTGAGTTACTTGAGCAGATGAGCTAAGTGCTAAACTGATAAGAAAAAATGCATAAAGATACCTGCTCGATATTAAAAATGAAAGTTAATAATTTCTAATATCATTGAATTAAGTATAAAGATTCTCACCACATTTTTCAGAACCAATAATTAATAATTCATCAAATGGTTTGAAATGTTAGCTTTTAATTAAGGTAATCACTCATTAATCAACAAAAAAGAACTGGATGTATTTCATGAATGAATAAAATTTTAATGGATTGCATTAATGATAAGTTTATCAAAAAAAAAAAACATTTTCCATTAATAAATTAATCTGGTTCAATTCACATTAAATGCTGTTTGAAAATTATATAATGGAAGCAGGGGTAAAGTAAGGGAGGCCGGTAAGGGATTTAATGCATTGGTGTTTTTATCTTCTTAAGACTTTGTTTGGATGCCAATGTGTTTCAAGTCAAGGTATTTTTGAGAGCCTCTCAAGATTAGCTGCTGATCTGCATTATTATAGATGCGTTAAAAACGAAACAGTATTAAACCATCGATTCATCCAAAGTCAAGAAATTAAAATTTATATGTCAGTGGGCTTCAGTGGGCAAGTATCAAATGTCGCGAACCAATATGAGCCATTCCAAGACTTTGGATTCAACTCACAAAACAATTGAGATATTGAATAATGAAATAAATAAGATGCTTAATCAACCACTTTATTGCATTATAAATATAACAGTCATTAACAAAATATTTAACAAAACAGAAAATCCAATTATTCTGCCATTTCCTTTGCCATCTGTAGTAGTTGGAACCTCAGTCGAAATTGTAGTTGTATCTTGATACTCAAAATTATCAAAGCATTTACCAAAAACTGAAGATATATTTGTATTTTGAAAATCGTCAATAATTGTGTCTACACAAATGTTTTCATTGATTACAAGAAGTTCCAGGTTTGGAAAATTGTCAAAAAATTTCCTCTCAATTTCATCAATTTTGTTCCAGGAAGATGTGAAATTTACTAATTTTTCATGCCTGCCAAAAGAATTTGAATTCAAGGTTTCAATTTTATTATTATAAATATTGATAGATTCTAAATTGACCAAAGACTTGAAAATTCCAGATGGCAAGTCAGTTATGATGTTTACACCAAGATGAAGACTTCTTAAATTTTGTAGATTTTCAAAAATTCCGTGTGGTAAAATTGCAATTTTATTAAATACTAAACTAAGTTTTTTTAAATTATTAAGTCGATCGAATGTGTTACTTGGTATTGAAGAAATGCTGTTGTATCCAAGCCATAAGATTTCCAAATTATCTAATCCAGTAAAAGTATTCTCAGTCAAAATTTCCAAATAATTCCCTTGAATATAAAATTCCTTTAAGTTTGTTAAATTCTGCAAAGAATTGTCAATCAGATCTCCTAATTTATTATCATTAAGGTCCAATATTGTTAGGTTTTCAAACTGACTGAAGAATGACATGTTAAAGTATTCATAATAATTTTTATGTAGAATTATTTCCTTTAATTTGGTCAATCCATTAAGAAGAGCTTCAGTTTCAGAATAATCGATGTGCCAATCTGATAAGTCAACGACTTCAAGATCACGCAAAAATTCAAACATTCTTTTATTATGTTGATACAAATTCCATGGATTTCCTAAATGCAACTCCTTCAACTTCCTATTAAATCTAAAAACATTGTCTGACAATGCTTGGAGCAGATTATAGTTCAAATTTAAAACTTCCAAATTATCAAGTCCATCAAATGAAGCATCTGTTAAATTGTGTATGTGATTGTTACTTATTATCAATTCAGTCAATTTTTCACATTTACTAAAAAGATTATCTTGCAAAAAATTAATCTCATTAAAGTGTAAATTAACTTTTCGAAGCTCATCGCATTTTTCGAAAGAATTATTTGAAAAATCCAAAATTCTGAGCCTTTGAAGATCAATAACTTGAAGATTTGGAAACTGTTGAGTAAACTGTGGATGATAGATTCTTATTCTACCTACAAATGATGAGTTTGTCCTGACAATTGTTACATGACTATCATTTCTTCCTTCAAGATGTTGTGACAAAAATTCAAGCTGTGTTGTGTCACTGGAAATGTTTGCTGCAATTATTGTACATATGTAGTCGTTCCCAATATTTTCAAAGTCACAGATAACATTTTGAGTATGAATTTGGGTGAATGTAAGAGTAATTAGGTAAACAGCTGTTGCAATTGGAATTCTAGAAATCAAATTAGTCATTATTGAGTATTAAGTCATTAGTTTAAGATGATATAAGATCTCTAATGTAATAATTTTGGTGTCAGGAAGGTAAAGAAGACTTTATTGACTACAATCATTTTTAAAATAATTTTTTACCACTTCAATTTTATTTTTAAACGAAATTAAATTAAATTAAACTAAGATCAATTAAATATGCACTATTTTAAGCTGAACTACATTAAGTTTACCTCATTTTCTAATATTGATTAATTAACCATTTATTACTGAATTGATTTGTACGATTGACTTTTGCCACCATCTATCAAAAGCACGTATGACAAATTACTGAACAACTTACACCGAATTGCAATGCTGATAACAAATGATAAGAAATAATCGAAATTGTTGATAAGCAATTTTCAAATAAAAAGGTTATTCACGCATTTACGTTTTTGCGTTTTACAAGGTTGGAGATTGTTATTTGAAAAATTCGACCACAAACTGTCATTCATACTTAGGGTCTCATATTCGTCACTTTCTTAGTATTTTAAGAATTCTCAGCACTCACCGGCAAAAACCTTTCTACGTCTACGCTCTCAAAACTCCTGCAGAATATAAAATCTTTTGATTGAATATGGGGTCAGTCACTGATGACGTCCATAAATGAATACCATTTTTAGACCCCCTCCCCTCTCTGTCACAGATGCCAGTACCCCCTCTTCCCCTGTGACGTTTCAATTTGATTTCTTTATTGCAATATTGGATGTCACAAATTCGTTGACCCCCCCCCCCCCCTAAACCTGTCATAATGTGTCATAAAATTCTATAGCCCCCCCCCCTATATCTGGGACGTCATAAGTGTACGACCCCAATATTTAATAGATCTTAGCTATTTAAAGTTATCTCACATCCAATTTTAAATTATCAAAAATTATTCACATCCAAAAAAATTCATTTAAATTCAACCTTGACTCAAATCAAACTATCCAGCGAATAAATCTCATTATTCACTTAACTTTATTCATGGAACTAAATTTTTAGTTCTAATACGAATAAAAAGAAAGAAGAAGATACATAAAAAGGTGTCTGAGGTTGTCAGGGCTTTTCATAGCTCTATAAATTATTCAAATACTGACTGCAGTAAATATTGTACGACAGCTGAAGCACCTGAGCACTGACTGACTGCGTATTTGCTTTAAATTTTCATTTTCTTCTCATTTGCCTGAGGGTTGTCGGAATCTTCACAATGCCATGATATAAATTTAATTTCTCAGTTAAATCAAATAACACTGGTTCGTTCATTTATTCTTCTTTTCTTGTTTGTTGTTGAACTCTTTTTTTTCTCATTCTTCATTCATTCTTGTTCATTTCTCTAAATCACACACAAGACTGAAAAGCATGAAAATGAAATTGATGGGATTTTGCCACTTTAATTTGTGCAAAATACAATAATCCTTCAATCTGGTGCCATTCAACCGCAGACTTGATTACTTCGCATTTGAATCGTTGAAAATAATATTTTTAGGGATGAAGCTTGTTTACTCAATTTATGTATGAAAATTTTGACTTTATGGTGGTTTTAATATCATATCGATAGCATGGTTCTCACTCCTTTGAAAATATATATAAATACACCAAGGCGGTAATAACAATCAGAGACTTTGTTTATTTGTTTATTTTGCATGCTTGTTGACTGTTGTGGAAATAGAGCTGTTTGAAAAAATAACAATCAATATTTTTGCTATGCAGTTTTTTTTTTTATTTTATGAAAATTTCAGGTGGTTCCGGTTTGTGATTCAATGAATTTTTGTTCAGATTCTTAGAATTTCAACTGTTTTGGGCTTGTTAAAGCTTCTCTCGATTTATAGAACATGTTGGTTGCGTTTTATGCACTTAAACGCACCTAAGGTTAACTCTCCTGCTGGATAACATGCTTGATTACATGCAATTGGCTAATTAAGTGTAGGTTTGGATCCCTTTGGCTAAGCTTAGCTATCTCAAGTCTCCATAGAACAAGTTAAACCCCTTTAAGCCAGTTCATATTAACTCATTTGACTTTAAACTTTATACAGCTTTCCAGGTTTCTTCCTCCTTTAGTTTTTTTTTTCATTTAAAAGAATCCTCTCTCCTGTACTTTATTTGCTTGTTCCTCTTCCGCGTACTTCTTCTCATCCTTTTGTTATCGTGGAAAATTAAAAAGTGACTTTTCATTATTCACAGCTCGTAGATTCCATTCATATTCTTATGATAATAATGAAAATATAGCAAACAAAAAAGATGAGATGCACAATAACACGAATAGAGCAGGCAAAAATGGCAGGTAGATGATGTTCATGTTGTTCTGTCTATTCTCATGCTTATTTGCATGTAATTTTTCCATCATCAGTTGTTAATCAACATTTTCGCTGCTTTACATCCATTCTTTGTTTGGTATTTTCATTTCATGCATTAAAATTGAAGTTTAATTGAAAGCTGCACTTGTATTTAGTGGAACTTTTCCTGATTTATTTAGTCTGCTGCATTTTCTATGATTTCCACAAAGAATTTTCACATCGGTCAATCAGAATCAATTCACAGAAAAATAAAAAAGTTGTTGTTGAAACTTGAATGAATTGCAGAACAATTGAAAATGCACATTTTGTGGATGGAGAGGCACAAACTATTCGGAAAATTGATTTGAAAACAATTTGGAAAATTTTAAATCCAATCGACTCATTTCCAGAATATTTCTGTGATTTAGATTTCTGTGGCATCACAATAAATTCTAGTTAAAGACTAAAGTGTATTTGACATCCTCAGTTGAAGATCAAAGCTAGATTTGGCCATTTTAGGTCCAATTCTGTATGCCTTTACTTGATTACTTTGGTAACAGAAATAAACAATCCTTTACATACCCAAAAATTCATTTCAAATGGAATGAATCCTAGCATCACACAAGCATAGTGTAGCTAGAAATGCAATGCACATCAAATGCAAATCACCTGTCATGTCAACGTCACTTACTCTAAATAAATATCAGAAATGCATCAAATCGACAGAACAAAAAGCTTTACTATCAAGATGTCGATTCCATTCAATGCATGCATCACAAAAGTTGATTGAAATGTTTGACAGAGCAGCTATGGAAACAGCAATCATCGAATTTAGCAGACATTTTCTCAGATATTGATGCTGTAAGGGATGAGAAATTAATTAATATTCATTCGATGTAATCGTGCATGAATCGATCTCGTTCCTTCAATAATGAGTTTTGAGCGACGACAAGCTTTTTCTATGCGTAGCATGTCCGAACATTAATTTCATCACACTTTTCCTAAATTCATTTCTTCTCCAACAAAAATAATAGAGAACTAATTATTCATGTCTCGTAATAATCTTTTTCAACGCCATCGAGCAGCCTTCACGTCGAGAGAATTTTTGGTATTTTAACATCATTATTATGGGATCTGTTTTATTGCGGCATTTCTAGAGAAAATGCTGGGAAAATGAGTGAGAAAATTTTTATGGCGATTGAAATGAAATAAAATTAATTGACATTAAAATGGCTATAAGGAGCTTAAAAGCATTCTCAGAAGTCCTTGAATGTGAGTTTTTACTGTCGCTTGGGGTGATGATGATAGCGATTTTAGGGGCTCATTCCTGCAAGATCATTGAGATCAGGATCTTTAAGTACAAATAATTTATTAACAATCATTAGCGTAGCTAGGAATTGGAAAAATGGGGGACAAAAAAAATTAACATGAAAAATGGGGGGGGAGGAATTATTAGGATTCTTTCAATAAAACCTTAGAAAAATGTGGTTGTCGACCACATCCCCCCCTCCTGGCTACGCGCCTAGTAACAATACGCAATAAATCATAATTCTCGTCTCACTCATCACCCCTGAAAACATTTAATTGTTCAAAACATTCCAAACCAATGATGAAGGATTGAAAATCCTTACGCAAACAGCACGCTCGAATGAAAATTTTCACCAGTTTTAAACTTTTAATTGGAATTAAAATCATATCAATTTTCCAATCCACAAAATGCTTTCCTAATAATTTCTATGGAGAATTCTCCACATTGAATTCAATTGTTGATTTTTGCTGTTCTACCTCCATGGAAATTTTTTAATGATACACAAGTTTTGTTGCATCCGAGTACGAAATACCAAACATTTTATGGCAGAACGAGCAAAATTCTCATTTGCTGAATATTCATATAATTTTAATTAATGAAATTGATGAGAACTTGACGTCATTATTTGCACTATCATGATTTCCACATCCATAAACAACAATATTGGAAGTAAAGTTTGTTTTTTTGTATTTTCTGTTCAGAATGATATCAGCATTACAACTTCATTATGGTTCACGTACATAAAATGAATATAAAAAGTTTTTTTAATTATTTGCTTATTTCTACATGTCTGGAAGTAAAGCGGAGGATGTAAACAGGAAACCGGATATGAGAGAATGTAAAATGACAGCTTCCTGTCTTTTGGCGTTTCTACTGTAAAGTCTTATTGTGTGCTTAAAAATAGAATGTTGTAGAGAAGGTTGAATGAAACTTGATGCAATATGAATTCCTGAACAGTTGGAACAGAATGGAATAAAATATTCTCATTCAGATCAGCAACACGTTCAAGAAATTTAAAATATTTAATGTGGAATTTTTCATATGCAACAAATAATATTTCATTTAAAAATCAGATTGGGAATAAAAATAGAATCAATTCAGCGTCCATCAAGAATGGGATCGTTCACTTATGACGTCCCTCAAAACGAAGGATTTTCAGCCCTCCACTTCTAACCTTAGTTAAAATTTTAAGGTTTCAATACTCAAATACCCCCCAAACTAGAGCTCAATGTTGATGAAATTTTGTATGGATTCGAGTCCACTTCGAGTTCTGCACCAAATTAAATGATAGACATGATAATCAATAAACCCCAACAATGAGAAAGCAGAATCAAAATTTATGGAAATAATTCCAGCCCCATGCATGATGTTGCAAAAAAAATATTAATAAAATCAAAACATTTGCATTGAAAATATGAAAATTGGATCATTTTGCAATTCAATAGCAATTTTTGAGTCATGATTTAAATTTATAAGTCGATTTATTTGTAAATCATATAAAATAGGATCAAAATGGGAGAATTTTGTTTGTTGATTCGCATAACAAAGAAGGAAGCTCTAAAGCTTTATAGTTCAAGTAGTTTGTTATTTTTATTTCATGTCTTCGACAATGCTTTTAAGAAGCTGAGGACCTTTTCAGCATTGTTGAATAACAAGCTCTTGTGGAGCGTATGTAAAATGCTTTGTGTTATGATTGGGGCTTAAATTTCAAGATGTTTATGTTCTTGACAGCCACAGGATATTTGGGGAA